ACAACTAGACTGAAGAACAAAAGGACAGCAACTTGTCTGTTCCCCTTCCCCGATTCCCCAATGCTGTTCCTTCCCCCAATTCCCCAATAAAATCTTAAAAAAAAAGAAAAAGAATTTATTTTTAAAATAAAATTGTTTTTTTCTCATCTTCAATTATGTAGTTGAATATTGAAAAATGGAAGAAAGTTTGATATAATTAATTTTCTTATTCTGTGTAGTGCCTTGGAATATTGTAATTATAAAATTTATTAGTACTGAGATCAATAATGCCAAAAATGTTTAAATACTGTTCCCATAAAACTGTTCAGTTAATAACTTTTTACCATAATAATTCTTTTTTTTTTTAAGATTTTTATTGGGGAATTGAGGGGATGGGAACAGCGCTGGGGAATTGGGGAAGGGGAACAGACAAGTTGTTGTCCTTTTGTTCTTCAGTCTAGTTGTTGAGGACATTGCTTCACTGGCCCAAGTTGGCACCATCATTGCGCTCTTCCTGGGTAAGGCAGATCAGTTGCCGGCCTCTGGACGGCCGCTCACGGCGGCTCTTGGTAGCTCACGCTGGCTGCTGGCTCCACACGGTAGCCCATGGCAGCCCACTGCCACAGGGGCTGCAGCCTACGCCGCCGCCAGCGACTCACGGCAACCCAGCTCCAGGCTGAGCTGTTTATTCAGCATCTTAGCTGTGGAGGGCAGTGTCATTGGCCCTCATATGTGGGATCCAAACCGGGGCCCTCTGGCATCCCAAGCCAGTTCTTAACCATTGCGCCACTCGGTCGGCCCTTTACCATAATTCTTGCAAAGGTATATCACTTTTCAGACAACCTTTTTTTCCCCTTGGGTATAAAGACTTCCTGTAAAATACACTAACAATAAAAAAATATTTAAACATTACTATCTCAGACAAAAGCATCCGTTTACTTGATACTTTCCTACATAGAGATTATAATTTTGAACACATTTAAATTGTGCATCAGGTTATTTTTTTGCATAAGTGTGTCAGATGAGAGGAATGAAGATGTTGCATCTTCTAGGACTCCAGTCTGTTATGTGCAGATGCCATTTCCATGGGTTTTGAAGTTCCCTAAAGGTGGATTTTCTTTTTTTTTTTTTTTGTAATCAAAGATGAACATCTTTTTTTTTTTTTTTAGATTTTTTTTAATTGGAATTGGGGGAATGGGAACAGTGCTGGGGAATTGGGGGAAGGGGAACAGACAAGTTGCTGTCGTCTTGNCTTAGCTGTAGAGGGCAGTGTCACTGGCCC